CATGCACGATGGAGCTCCAGCACATTTCAGTCAGCAGGTACGGCAGTGGCTGGACGAAAAGTTTCCCAATTCTTGGATTGGACGCAGAGGCCCAGTGGAGTGGCCACCGAGGTCACCAGATTTGACACCGGCTGACTTTTTTCTTTGGGGAGTTTTGAAAGATCAAGTGTATGGTAAGCGGCCACGGACAGTTGCTGCACTCAAACAAGCAATCATTGATTCAATCCGTTCCCTGCCTGTGGATTTGTGTCAAAAAGTGTGCCGTTCTGTTCGATCACGACTGGAAAAATGTCTAGACGTTGGCGGCATTCAAACGGAATTGTTTTGAGTGAACTTCCTCACACCATCGTAAAGAGAACTTTCTGGTCTACAAAGTGGTGTCATATTATTTGGTCTACGGCTTTTACTTTCTGAGTTATGCATCTTCAAACAGTAGGTAGTTTCTTTTGGAACACCCTGTATGTTAAGGATGCAGTAGAACATGCCTTACAGCAGGTGCAGCGTACAGTATTGAGGTTCCACTAACCGATTGCTGTTGTGTACTGCATCGAGCATCCAGCATTCTGTTCAGCACGAGCATGAACCGGGTCTAAGATTTCATAGAACGTGATGTGGAACATGAGAAAACGCCCAAAAATGCTCACTAGAAATAGCATTAATTCCCCTGTATTAATTCGTTCCGGCGCGGTTCAAGATATTTATTTTTAACGTGCCCACTTTATCTGCGCTCAGGGCTTACATATCTAGAAGTGAGGGGCAAACGATTCGACTCCGAATACTTGGAATCTGAAGCATAAAAAAGCTAATTCTATACGAATAGGAATTGTGAGATGCCTGATGCATTCTGAGTCGCCCACCTCGTTGCCAAATGAATGATAGCCAAATTGAAGGAGTATCTACACCTTGCCAAGAGCCAAACTCGGCAGGATCTTGAAATCAGTTCACCTGCCTTTGAACATTATACTACCATCACCTGAGGGAGCGAAAGGTATGCAGTCGATGGATTCCTCATTCACTTGCAAAGAACCAGAAACAGCAGCATTCGGAGTACTCCTGGTTAATGCTTCTAAAATGGATCGTTTGTTAAGGCGTGGGTCCCTCGATTCGGCGCGCACAAAGGGTGCGAGTCCTCCGATTCCTTGTGTATGATACCCGCATTCACTTCATCGCGTTCTGGTCGACCTGAGCGACGTCCAGCTTCAAGGTCGATTCTAACGAGTTTCATTTGATGCTGTGCTCTGAAGAGGAAATCGTCACCAGGTCACGCCAGGACAAAGCCACTGGATCGATTGCACTAGCGATTCTGACACTTCACCATGGTGAGAAAAAAAGTTGTCGCTGTCTCAGTGACCCACAACTCCTCGCCTAACTAAAATATAGATTTAAGATCCAAGGAGTTGCTGTAGCGAACTTCTTTAAAACCCGAAAACTCTGTTCCTTTTGGGTATCCCTCTTTGTTTTGGCTATCTCCTGTACCCCAACTTGCCCATACACTAACCTATGTCTCTGTAACTGCGGAAAGTCTATGCTCAAAAGCTTCTCCTGATTTCATGTGACCTTGATCTATTTACTCACGTCCTTCTATATTTTGTATTTCTCAAATTTGTTTATGGATGTCTTTCGCTCTTTTATACACTTTTACACTTTGAACTGCGCCAGGACGGGACTCACCCCTTCCTGCTTTCATCATTCTTCCGGTTCATTCTATTGCTTTTATGTTAAAAACAATAGCAAGTGTACCTTGTATGGATCACACTACCCTATTGATATCCTGTTCCACACACGGTTAAAAATGCCGTAACGTGGACAAAACTCGAGCAGTGCCTGAACTGATATCATAAATTGACAAAACTTTTAGATCGGCCCTCATGACTCCTTCCAACGGCATACAAAAAAGCACTCATGGAAGCGAAAGATCAATGAGATGAGAGGAAACAAGTAACTACCTGAGTCTAGATACGGCACCAGACGAAATTATTACACGGTGGAAACGATTGCCATAATTTATTTCTCTCTCTTTCCCCCCCCCCCCCCAAATGCGTTGAGACCGAAGCAGTTAGCTGGACTTCCGTTAACTTCCACAAGTGGGAACGCTGTTCCCCTGCATTCCAGAGGGGGAAGGAAGCCCCGAGAGATGTGCATTACTCTTGTGCCTTCAAGGCTCTGTCTGACTTGGGGGGGCTTTCTATGATACTATCAATATATGGAATAATGCCTAGTTTTTCGCTCATTCCCAGCCACTTAAATGATCACAAGCTCACGGGGACAATGGATGAGGGATTTCAGTTGCACCCCCCCCCCCCATATATATCTGCAATCAGGGGTGAAGTAAAAGTAGGTGAAATAAACATTTGATTTATCGAGGATGAAGTCGAAACAACGGCAAGATCGCGATGGGGACACGAATCAAGCCCGCATCTCTCACGTTGCAGGTTTGATTCGCGTCCTCATCACGCCATCACGTTCCCATCAGGTCCACATCCTCGTATCATACAGAACCCTGATGACGGACCATGGCGCGCTCCGCGAGGCCGATGCGGGAGGATATGGCGCAGCCTGCAGCGAGGACAGTTGGAACACTCTTCGGGACCCAGCGGGGGATGTCACCACATAGGCGTCTACTTAACCCTTTCATATTTCTCTCTAGTCTCCGCTCATACGTCAGGATCGTCGAACGTACTCCAAATGGGACTTGTGTACTACTTCCTCATAGCCTGTGAGCATACAGCTCCTTTCACGGGGTGTCCCATAAGTATGGAGTCATAGGGAAAATACTAACCTTTATCTTCTTGTTTCCGGTTCTGATTACGAAAATGTCTTGAAGTTGAACGAAACTTAGTGAGATGCATTTGAAAGCAAAAGTGTACTCCGTCGAAATAGGCGATATTTATCATCTTGAGGTGCTCATAATCAAAGTTTGCGAGAAAAAAAAAACCATATCAGACATTCTAAAAAATGTTCCGGAGGAATGGGGACTTCGCCTAACAATGTGCACCAAAGATAATGACAGACACATTTAACACATTTTCAAACTGAAAGTGCGAAGATTTCCCTATTGGTTCTTGATTTATGGGACACCCTTGTGGAATTCCATTAGTGGAGATCGTTGGACTGATGGGAAACGGAGAAAAATCTAGCTTCTTCGACTCCATAAGTAATCTCCCGACTGACAATCATCTAGTGTCAATTGCACCGTGCTTAGCTGCAGCGGCCTAGCGTTTGGGGTGTCAAGGGGAGGGTGGCGGGGAAGTACGTGCCCCCTACTATTTAAGGAAAGAAGCAAACAAAAAAGAAGGAAAAGACCCATGAAGTGCAGTGATTTAGAGTTCCTGTGCCGTACCCCCCACTTTGTTCCGTGCCCCTCACTTTCTCCATCCACGCTACGCTTATGCTTACCCGGGGACCTTGACCCATACAAACACACGTGGAAAGATTGACCGAATAAAATTATTGAACAGCTTCTACTAAGAAGGCTGGGTCATCCATCAGCCAGTTCAGTTCATTCAGAACTGCGGTGGGAACGAAATAATAATTCATTTATAAGTCTGGTACGAATGCATGATATCTCAAATTTTCACCTATAATAGAGACTTCAGTGCTCCTCAACAATGGCAATACGTTCTCAACGTCAATAGGTTACGGGCCCTCACCTTCACATTTCCTCCATGATCATCGACGTCTATTATTCTTGCACATTTTCAAAGGGTTTCTAGAGCCTGTGCACGAAAGAATCAGGCAGAGGGCGATTACTGACTGATTCTGACGAAAACTGGGACAAGTGCTCCTTTCAAATCTAACCCACCAAGTGGAATAAAAAGTTCTTGTCGGCCAGGTCATGATGACGAGATTTTTGAGGTTCGAGGCAAGGCGTTATATTTTAGGAACATCGTTTCGAAGTCCTCACAAAAAAATTTGCTGTTTGAAATGAAAACATAAGCCTCAATGATAATAAAGATTAGACGTCACAGTGAAGGTAAGATGCACAAAATTATGATGATTCAGGGATTCACCGTGGCATGTCAGGAGAAGGGATAGTAAAGTGTCGGTGACTGGAAAATCTATAACTTTCGAAAGCCTGTAACTTTCTTCTCGAGTAGATGCCAAATAAAATAGGTGCTACAGGAAGAGCTCAGTCGAATCGATCCGGATATTACAAAAAATTTGAGGTAACTTGCTCCGAATTATTGCTATTAAGGGTTGGTTATTCGGTTGCTTTAGCCTACTTTGATGACACCTCGATTTTGCGAAAGCAGGTCAAAACGGTCAGAAATGACTTTTGACCTCGGTGTAAACTGTCTGACCTGAATTTATTTCGTTTTACATTGTGGTTTAGTTAACTGTAATTCCTTCATACCGAATTTCACCAAAATCTATATCAATCGACAATCACCTTCTCCCATTCTTGCCTAATTCTCTCGTGAACAAGCTCTTAATTTACCTCGAATCCGGGAAGTTCTGCTGCTCTTTGTATTTTGCACGCTTCACACGGGACTTGAAGAGCGAGTTCCTGGCAAGTGCTAATGGATGTTTTTTTTTAAACATTTATCAGAAAGGATTTCTTGAGTCGTGGTATGTGGTTATATCTCTTCAGGTCTAGTCTGCAAATAAGTTTTTTCAGACCCCAATTGGGTCAAATAATGTGTATTCCCAACGTTTCCTTAACAGGGAATGACGTAAGTATGGCATTTCCTGCGGTGAGAGCACACTTGCATATTAGAACGAAGGCTCCCAGGAGACGCGCACCATTATTTCAAGACCTGTGTGTTGATATGGGCCGATTCCAGGAATCAATGGGAGAGGGGGGGGAGGAGCCGAGAAATGGGCCACTACTCGCGAAAACATCGATTGTTACCATGTGAGTATCATGGGGTTTCATAGCAACACACAGCGATGCAGTAGCCTAATTATACTGGTACCTTATCGGGCTAGAGGGCCCAGCATATCAGAATCGACGATCTCAGCCGTCACCATGGTCAGCGCCTCCCTCGTAAGTCTTTTTCCTATTCAACTATCTGTCAAATTCAACGACTCGCTATGACTAGAACATATTTCTTTGGTATGTCGTCGTCTTATATGCGAAGGACGCTATCACACGAGGCCTGGGTACCCTAAAAAAAAAAGCCCTCAACTGCATCGCCGTTTCGACTTCCAACGTCAAGTGTGGCTACAAAGCACCCAGATTGCGTACTCTGTAGGCCTTTTCACCAGCATATCAAAGTGAAATAAGATAGAGGTAGCAATATTTGAAAGCTGTTATGCACACCGGAGGGTAAAATGAAACTGCATGAAAGGATAAAGCTGTCTTTCAGTTGCCCAAAAGGGTGGAGAAGGGGTGCATTTTCGCACAATAGATTATGACAGACTGTCGTCGTAATTCACGTTAACCATTCTGCGCTAGGCTCGTAGATGTGAGTTGAGAGGATGGCTTCGAGATCAAAAACTTCGTCAAACCACGCTAAATATCTTTTGACGAATTCTCCGTGCAGAACGCAATTAATCTAAAGATGTCGCAACCATAATGACATGACTGACGTAATGCCACGTATTTCACGTATATGTGCACATCCATTGCGTGCGATTAATATAAATATTTTAAGAGCTTGTTTTGCTACATAGATTTACTAACTTGGAACAGCTGTTATGAGACTTCCAATAAAGTCGTTAAGGACAGTGCCTGAGATGGGTTATTTCTTAAGAACTCAACCAATATCAATATAAAATTGAGCCCGACCATTTCAGACTTTGAGATTAAAAAAATTCCCATCGATTGCAACAACTTCGTTAAAAAAAAAATCGCCTCCATCGGATCTGCGATTAGCGAGATATCGCTCTCCGACCTTTGGGGGAAAACGGATAAAGCCCATGGACGGCAACATTTTCATCCCAGGAACCGTTCATGGTACGGAGGCGTGCAATAGCTTAAACCGGAACTCTTTAATCGGTAAGCAATTCACTCCATACACCCTTTGAGTTTCAATGATATTTCAACATCATAGTTGTGTTTGAAAATGTGACAAATAGGCAATTTTGACTCCTAAATATCCCTATGTGGCGAGATAAAAGACAAACCTCTCTTTACGATAAGTTGCACTCCTCTTTCAGGTGCATCGATAATGAAAGTTTTATGTTTTATTTTTCGTCCGCTACAAAGAATAAAATTCATCTCAAATAGGAATTTTCTCATTTTTGGTAATATTAGGTCAAGTGTTTTTCGATGTGGCGGGGCACTCACGGATTCAAGGGTAGTGTCATTAGAACGACGAGCTTTGTAGCGGACAAAAATTCAAAACTTGCAACTTGCATTATCGATGCACCTGAAAAAGGAGTGCAACTTACTGTAAAGAGAGCTGTGTCTTTCACCTCGCCACATAGAGAGATTTGAGGGTCAAAATTCCTTAAATCTCGTACTTTCAAACTCGGTTATGTTGTTTAAATCTCATTCAAACTCAAAGGGTGTATGGAGCAAATTGTTCGCCGATTAAAGAGCTCCGGTATAAGTTATGCACGCCTCTGTACGATGATCGGTTCCGGATTGACAAATTTTGCGGTCGATGGTGTTTTTCCTTTGTCCCTCAAAGTTTGGGAAGCGATATCGGGCTAACCGCTGATAAGATACAGCCCATTCTGTTTTTTACGGTTGTTAGATTGATTGCAATCGCTGAGAATATTTATCGCAATATCCAAGATGGTCGAGCACACTGTCTGCTTGAGTTCGTATAGAATGACCCAGTGGCATATTTTACGGGGGGAAGGGAGAGCGGTCTCTCCCCACGCCTGACACCCAATGGGAGGTAAAAATTATTCCCTTGGTAACACTCAAATGGTGTTTGCTGCCCCCTTAACTCTTCAGCCGGAATACGCAACTGAATGACCCTCAGAAAACGACGAAATCTCCCAATCAAGTCTTTCTCTGAGTTTTACAAAAAGACCTATGGGCCTAACAGCAGCAAACATCACTGCGTTTTCAGCGAGAATGCATCAGCATCCACGTGGGCCAGGCGGGCGTTCAAATGGGGAACGCGTGCTGGGAGTTATATTGCCTGGAGCACGGAATCCAGCCGGATGGGCTCATGCCATCCGACGTGAGCGTGGATTACGAAGGCGATACCTTCAACACTTTCTTCATGGAGACCGGTGCTGGGAAGCACGTACCTAGGGCCGTTTTCGTCGACCTCGAACCCACTGTCATAGGTAAGACTTAATATTAATCTGTATTTTCCATAATTAATTGACTATTGGAGCGCGCGTGGACTTCTCCCCTTCAGAGAATTAAAGGCTAGATTGAAAGCAAAGCTATAGCCGATGCACCAGACCACATAATTCTGAAGATGATATCAAGCGTGAAGGGATTATGAGAATATATTGAACACCAGTCACCAGACCCTGTCACGAAAGTTTGAGGTGGAAAATTTTGTCACAATGAAAATAGTTTGTCACGGCAGGTATCGTCTTCAAAATTATCGCATCTACAATTGGAGGAGAATTCTATTCGATCTCCCTTCCATATTGTTCCTCTTTCTGGGGAGGACAATGACAACCACACTGTTATAAATTATTGTTGCTTTCTTGTAGACGAGGTACGGACAGGGACATATCGGAACTTATTCCATCCTGAATTCCTCATCACTGGAAAGGAAGATGCGGCCAATAATTACGCTCGAGGCCATTACACTGTCGGTGAGAAGAAAATAAACACAAAAGACGAAATCAGTATAGTACATGGGTCTGCACAATCTTGGAGTACTGAATTTTTGTCTGGTTTAAAATGCCTACGCAGGAAAGGAGATAATCGATCTGACGGTCGACAAGGTGCAAAAGCTGGCCGATCAGTGCGGGGGGCTTCAGGGTTTCCTTGTATTCCATTCCTTTGGTGGGGGATCTGGATCCGGCTTTACTTCCCTATTGATGGAGAAACTCAGCGTCGACTTCGCCAAAAAGGCCAAGCTCTCTTTCTCCATCTATCCTGCTCCCCAGGTTTCCACCAAAATATTCCTCAGGGCGTTTCCATCAAACCGCATTACATTCGTGTGACTTCCCAGGTGTCAACGGCGGTGGTGGAGCCATACAATGCCATCCTGCACACGCATACAAGCATGGAGCACGTGGACGTGGCTTTCATGGTCGACAACGAAGCCATCTACGATTTATGTCAGAAGAAGCTGGATGTCGCATCGCCGACTTACACCAATCTGAATAGGCTGATCGGACAGTTGGTCTCAAGGTATGACTGTCTTTGGGTAAGATCAATATGGCTGTATTCCGAGTTCCTGAGTTTGCGAGTGAATTCATCTTCTTTGTAGCATTACCGCGTCTCTGAGGTTCGACGGAGCGCTGAATGTGGACCTCACCGAATTCCAGACGAATCTCGTGCCTTATCCTCGCATCCATTTTCCTATTGTGAGTTTTCTTTCTCCATGAGATGGAAGAATCGCCGGTAGAAAATAGAGAGGAATGATTTTTCTCCTCTTCAAGGCAATGTGGGCTCCGGTTATATCAGCAGAGAAGGCCTACCATGAGACCATGACGGTGGACACCATCACTCAGCAATGCTTTGAACCAGACTGCCAAATGGTACGGGAAGATGCGTTATTTTTTCATATTGGCCCATTAAAAAGCGTAGCTGCTTTCATGCAGTGAAGGAACGGATTGCATCGCGACACCTACTTCCGCTGGATTCAATGGAAATGACACTCCGACAGGATATTCCAAGACAAGAAACCCCAGACGAAAATGTCACGAAATCGCATCCAACAGACAAACCCCGATCAAAGCATTCCGATTAATTTTTTAGCGTTTATTTTTCTTCCAAGACCCTGCAAAGTTTCCCTCTAGTGCTATGTTACTCCATTATGGAGATGAGGTTAACATTTCATCCTTGACTAGGTCATGCGACATATTTGTCATGTTAGATAGATCAGTATGACGAAGAGGGAAGGGATGAGTTCTAGCTGGTTAAAATTCTGGGCTCATAGGCCAAAGATAACGTGATAGAATGGGATAATTGGAATTAGCCGATCAGGCTAAGCGTAATGACACCGTCTCCCTCCCAACAAAATGTCGTAATGACAAATGTCAACAGTCCGATTGTCGATTACCAATTATTTCGATTTCCTTAATGTGGAATGAATGAAACGTTGAAAATAAAAATGGCGTATGAGAATAAGGTTGACATGACCTTTTTTGTTTTTACATTTTTTCCTTTTTAAACTTTTCCTTTGTCGAAGAAGTTAAAAAAAAAACCAATGACTTCGTCAATTTTTATTGCTTTCACGAAATTTTTCTCGATGTCAGAGAAATTAGGTGCGTGATCATCGTCCACCTTCGGTGGTTCTTTTATCGGGTCGTCGTTTAGATATGCTATGACTCGTATACATGGCGACTGCGGTGCTGGAACCTTCAATGCACGCTACCATTGCATTATTCACGAGTGAATATATATCCACGCCCGGCCAACATATTGCCACCCTTCTGAGAATGGATGTATTGATTGTTCGATCGTGATTATTGTCCCAACGCGACTGACGGATTTGTGCGGCAATGCATTTGTTACTGATGCGATCAACACCAACAACCCTAGCTGATGCAGATGCTCGGTTGACAAAACAATATTGGATGCCTCAACGGATAAGAAGAATATATCTGGACCACAAGGAACAGAATAGCCCGAAGCTTATTCAGATGTCGATAACCTGATAGTTGGACGTTTTCCTACATTTTGAGGCTGTCAGTATTGTAACAATCGACATTATGCCCATAAGACGATTGTGCATTCAACATTGCGTGGCAATGCTAATTGACATAAATTCTGGCGACATTGACCTAATCAGCATTTTGGCTTTCAAAATTATGTTATAGAATCAACGATGTATACAGGGTGTGTGGAAAGTCACTTTCTATTTTAAAATTGTAATACAGCTTTTGTAATTCTTTGACGGGAACAACGAATTTTGTGCCAAAAGAAACATAATCCGATGGGTTTTATGATTTTCTTGATTCGTTTGCTTGCAGTGACCCTCCATGGTACCAAAATGAAATATTCGGCACAGTGTGCAAATAGTTGCGCGGTGTCAGGGGTGGTGGGTCTCGAAGTGGAGGCGGAAGGAGAATGGCTTGAGTGCAATTTCCCTCCTCCTTTGCTGTTACCGTTACACCTCATATCGTGAAGCTTTTTGCGCACAGTTCCGAATATTCCATTTTGGGGTCATGAATATTCGGCACTTGCTAGCAAATAAATCAATAAAATTATTACATCCTATCGAATTCTGTTTATTTTGGCACAAAAACAGTTGTTCTAGTCCAAAAATGACAAATGTTATTACGATTTTAAAATGTGTAGTGACTGTCCAGACACCCTGTAGATTGAAGGTCACGTGCCCCCGATTCTCTCTATCTCCATAATTTTACCAGAAGCGTTTCGCAGTTCTAAATTAGTATCATATGTTCAGCTTTTTCAAAAATAATTTTTCAGATCGCATCGACAGATACAAGTTGTGACGCCTCTAGATAAGAGCTCCACAATGCTACCCATTCATCCATAATGTTATCGGCAATTTCCATTTGTTTTTTCCTTCTGAGACGGAAAGTACTCCATTTCACGATCACTGCATCTGGTAAAAGGCGAAGATAACTGCTGGAAGATTGAGAATCTAAGTAGCTTGGGACAGGTAAGAAACCATACTGTTGAGAAGGGGCATTTTATCTATGGAATGTTTTGCCCGGAAGGATTGGAATATCTTGTGGGTGGATAACAATGTCGGACATGGAGTATTGTATTGCATAGCTCGTACATATCTCTTTGCCCATCTCGCTACATTTGGAAGCAAAATTCCTCAACTTTATATCCGATTTCATGGACGTTGTTATGATATGATGAGGAGACAATTACCAGAATTTGGAACGTACAGTGAGGAGAAAGTCCAGACAAAAATATACGAAATCCATGAGGAGAACTAAATTGTAGTAAAAATTTGCTGATGAAAACGATGTTTCTTTCCTCTCTGCAGGTTCGTTGCGATCCCCGGGCCGGGAAATACATGGCAGTGTGTCTCCTTTACAGAGGCGACGTCGTCCCGAAAGATGTCAACGCTGCCATTGCAAAAATGAAATCCAAGAAAACCATCGATTTCGTGGACTGGTGTCCGACGGGATTCAAGGTACGCATTCGCACCATTTAACTCATCCTACTACATAATTGTAAGGAATCCCCGAAATCGCTACATGCCCAATTTCCTTAGGTGGGGATAAACTATCAGCCACCGACAGTGGTGCCCGGAGGAGATCTGGCAAAGGTGCAGCGGGCAGTGTGTTGTCTCACCAATTCCACGGCCATTCAGGAACCTTGGGGCAGGCTCAACCATAAGTTCGACCTCATGTATGCCAAACGAGCCTTTGTTCACTGGTTCGTCGGTGAAGGAATGGAGGAAGGTACATACGAATCAAAGCAATATTTTTCGTAATAGAATTGAAAAAGAGTTTCCCCCGAAACTCATTGGAATCTTTGTATGAAAAATGAAATCAGACGACTCAGTCCTCGGCACTAGCTCAAAGTTATTAACAAAATGGCTCTGAAGGTATTTTCTCCAGGTCGCAGAGACTGGAAAAATATGTTCACAATATACAGACTAGCACAGGAATTTAAAATCAATCTCTGTTAGTCATATGGAATCCAATGCGCTAATATATTTTGTGTAAAAGGAAGAGCGGCAACTTTCGGCCAAATTCTTCCAAATGCCGAATTGTCTTTAACTCAAATGATCAACTCAGAAATAGTTTTTAATTATCGCTGATCATTTTCTGAAGCAACAAGCGAAACGTTTTTCTAGAATTACGCGTTGGCTAGGATTCCCGGAAACAATTAGAATCTCTTTCATTATCTGTCGATACCTATACATCTAATGCCTGCTGCAGCAGCACGTGAGTGTTGATGAACTGAACATTTGAAGTCTTCCTATTTCCATGCAACACTTTACCTCATGCAACTCATCATTTTTATTAACTTCTTAACCTAACCAAAAACATCTATGAGGATGTCTAGGTCATGGAGACTCCAAATCTATACGATTCGAGAAAACCAAAAACGCAGCCAATGAATCGAAAAAGTTTAGAATTTTGATTTCAGTACTCCATAGATATTCGAGAGGGGGCTTTTTTGGCTCCTGTGCAAATTTAAAAAAGGGTGCCGATTCCGCAGTTATTTCTTGCATTTGAAATTCTTCTCTGAACATTCTTTGGGATTTCTGAAGAACATGTTTCAGGCCTTCTATGAACTCGTCTCCTGCCTAATTCACACGAATTACTTGGCTTTCTAGGAGACAGACGGCATCCGCAAAACGATCTTACGAGGAATGGATGCGTTGGGTCGTACAATTCTTGCTATCGCAAAGGTTCGCGAAATCCGCGCGTGAAAACGTTACGACACATTGCGGGTAGATTAAGCGGCAGGGATCACTACATCCAATGTCAACAGGAATAATAATGAACGATCTGTGTTTTGCTATTAAAAGGATTGGTTTTTCTGCGGCTGTTGAGGATTAAATCCGGAAGGATATTGAGCGGAATATGCAATTCAATCTGTACATTTGAAGGCAGCTTTCAATTCGGCACGAGACCAAAGGGCAAGAATATCCGGTCGGAAAAAATGGCGTCTGTAGTAATCTCTTGCCAAATCTCGACAGAAGAGACGATTTTACTTCAGAATCCTCATGTGAATTACCTACTCGAGGTTTGCTAAAAAGCAAAGCAGTCACGGGTCCCAATTGAGGGAAGACGCACTACAATATAAATAGATAGGCAGCTATCGATTGCACTGAAGGGAACCGTTGTTTCCTGCCAGAATTATGCGTTACTTTTCTAGTTCCTAACCTATTCTGACGTCATTGGAAATCGGAGAACTATCGATGAACACCCGCGTCACATGATATGGCTCCGACCGGTGTCGGCTCGGTTGCAACCCCGAGCAGATGCCGTGCCATGTTTGCTCGTGCCATCGTAACTCCATCTCACTGTTGTCGGGTCGTGGGACGGCATGCATGTGTCGGGCGACGGAGAATCAAAAAGAGGTTATTGTGACGGGGAACGATTTTCCATCGATCTTCACGGAGACACGAGAAAGGGGATTATCGACGTAATAACTCCGTGGCGACGACCCTCAAAGGCCTTTCTCTCCCTTTGTAGGAGAATTCTCGGAAGCCCGCGAGAACCTGGAATCCCTGGTCAAGGACTACGAGGCCGTCGGGATGGCAGACACCGATTCCCTGCCCGGGTCCCCGTGAAGAACGCTCGCAGAACGCTCGAAGAATGCTCCAAGGATACTCCAAGATTGCTCGAGGATACTACACACAGGGAATCTCACGATATCTGCACATTTTTTGCTCTTTTAGCGCATAGTGTTATTTGTTTGATTTTTGTTGGACTAAAGGTGCACTGGAGAGCGCATGCGTCATTGATTTCCCATCTCGCGTGTATGCCTGGGAGGCTTTTATTAATTGATGGCCTTGAGAAGGGGGATTCCAAGCAGGAAAGTGGGTCATGCCGATCCATACTTACAGTCTAACGGAGAATTGCTTGAGTTTAAGAAAGAATTGTTCGAACTTACAGAATGCTCCGTCGATTTTCAATGATCCTGTCCTGCCTAAGTCGGCGATTCCTGCAGGATATCCTTGCACACTGGAACGAGAAACCATATAATTCACACTAAAAAAAATTCATTTAATGAAATACATTCTTTATCGATAAGTTGTGAGAGTAATGAGAAACCTCAGATACAGTTCTCCGTTCCTTCAAATTTTGCACCCTTCTTGGAGTCAACCTCGACAGCCAGCTCATTTGGAGTGCTCAAAGTCACAACTTTGCATAGTTCGCTGCTTTTGGTACTGTAGTAGAGGACTTCTATCGGATCTCCACTACAACCACCCTATGCAAAACCACAGCCCGTCTCATCATTGCATTCTTGGGGAGGGGCTCCATCTGCCTCAAAAGAATTCAGGTCCTCTTCCTCGTGATATTTAGAATCAATCATCGGAAGAATGTTGGTTTCCATCCTTTTAAATTTTTCCTCCGCACCCAGGCAATCAGGAATTCCATACAATGCCTACTTTCAATCAAAAAAAGAAATATTTAAAAATTAAAAGCTTCAAAAATTGAAATATATCTGACGGTGGCAGAGACAAAACAAGACGCAATCCATCGATCCGAACCGGAGAGAAGCCGAGTACGATGTTCATTCGGACGCATGCCTGGCTCGATTTATCGTGCAAGATGCATGAAGTATTTGGCATGTGTCTGTTCCGAGAAGAGGAATCCAGATTGATAAAAAAGAGGATAAGGAGGGAATGCGGACGTTCAATGGGGTCACCAAGGAAACGAGGAGCATCAACAGTTGAACCGAGGATCAACGGCGCATCCTCCTCCTCCTCCTCCTCCTTCACTGGAGGTAAAATGGTTTCGCCTGTTCGCAGTTGACTCTCCTCCGGGTAGACACGCCTCGACGTCGTCCTGGAGTGAATTTTCCTGATTCTTCTGAACTTCAAAGTTGTTTCGTCCTTGCGTCGTACGTCATGGTGAGAATCGTGAGACTTCCTAGTATCGACTTGCTTTTGGGTCGATGTTAAAATGAAAAATCGCGAATATGGATCCGATGTTGCTTCATAAAGGCGAGGCGAATCGTTTGTTGCCATTGTTTGACGTGCATGCTATTGCGGTTTTCCCAGCGGGAGTGCATCAGCATCCACGTGGGTCAGGCGGGAGTGCAGATGGGGAACGCGTGCTGGGAGTTGTACTGCCTGGAGCACGGGATCCAGCCGGATGGGCTCATGCCGTCTGATTTGACCTTGGACTACGGGGGGGACACGTTCAACACGTTTTTCATGGAGACCGGAGCTGGGAAACACGTTCCCAGAGCCATTTTCGTCGATCTCGAACCCACTGTCATCGGTGAACGAGCTCGCCATAAAAGGACTTCCAATCAAAACTTAGGCTTATTTTACAGAAATTTTTATTTATTTTAATATTAAATTTCCGAAATTACTCGACTACCTCGATTCGATTATGAAATGTTTTACGAGGAAAGGGGATTTTGAACATCTAATGGCAGTTCTCAAATCCCTGCTTTGTCAACCTAATAGGCGCAGAGTATAAGCAAAATTGTACTCCACAAAATATTGAAGCTTGAAAAAACGCGACCTATTACCCTGATGCTCGTGTCCTTCATGCGATCGGAAATTCGGGAAGAACCATTAACGGAGGAATAAATTACGGAAAGGTACAAATACGGAGAAATAATGAGTCTTCGCGCTTTTGCGCAGAAAAGAATACACTTTTTCCTTCACAAAAATAACAAAGACTTCCAGTTTCCTATTCTCGCACCTAAGGGAATGCTCATTTTCATGCGGTACGGGAGGAGGCTGTTGAAGCAGTCAAAAGTGCTTCTTTTTTCACTGGGCACGATTTCCAAGTAACGAATTTTAAACAGTTTCTTTATTCACTAATATACTGTTCAGGTATATATTTATTTGAAAGAAGTATAACGTTTCTTGATTTATTTTATTAGTTATGTTTCATTCCTCTTTGGTGCAACTTATGGGAAAACAACATGAATGGGTTTCTCTGCAGACGAAGTGCGAACGGGGACCTACAGACAACTGTTTCATCCGGAACAGCTGATCACGGGGAAGGAAGACGCAGCAAACAACTATGCCCGTGGTCACTACACCGTCGGTAAGTTTCTCCATATATACAAACGTAAACTGCAGGGAGTTCCTTTGTTTGATGTTTGGGGGTGACATCCTAACGAGGCTGCAATTTCTCAAACGCCATTGGGTCTGAGGAGGTTTTGTGACGATGCCGGACCCCGATTCCAAATGAGTCAAGCAAGTCCACTCTGGGCTCATGAGCAGTATGATAAATGAGAGGCGAAGGGGAAATTCTCCTGCCCTGATCAATGCAAGGGGAGGGGAATGCATGCACGTCATTTCAGGAGAGGAGGGGGACAAGGAGGTAATTGCTCCACCTTGTAATTGCTTCATGCACTCCTTCTCTCGTAATTTAGGACGTTAATGTATGTAAGTGTTTGTGTGTGTGTGTGAGAGAGAGAGTGGGGTGGAGGGAGGGTGAAAGTGGCAAAGCGTACCCATGTTAAGGGGCGTTCAGCACCCCATTCCCCCCCCCCCCCCCTCATACGACGTACTCTATCGTATTGGGAGATAAACTATGCATACGGTGGATGGGAGGAAGGGCGCCTCCTGAAACTTTAATCCGACCCTGCCTGTCCTGCCGTCCCCCTTGCAGATATTTTTAATTAAGTCCGGGATGGGGGGGGGGATTTCCTAACTAAAGAAGAATTTCATTTTACATCTTATTTTATGCATTTCAAGAAGTAATCTCTGAATTTTATCTTGGCGTTACTTCATAGGTACGATTACAGAGCTTACATTCAGTCCTGAAATCATTTCTGCCTTGCGACTGGTTCTCTTATGCAAATATGATTATCTTGTCAGGCGGCGCGAATAATGTGTCCTTTAGAGCTGCCTTTGGTCCTCAGCCCTCTCCGTGCTGATTTTGGGTGGGACCTACCTCGCACTTTCGATACGATTTGGCTCCCGTGGAATCAGTTGCAAGTTATTGGAAATATGCACAGTTAAGACCTTCAACCCTAGTGACTTGAGTGCGCTAAGGACGTATGAAGTCAAATGACGGCTCTAAGGCTTAAAGTGCAATTGACTTAGCGATTCTAGAACAAAAATAACTTGTCATGCCATGTCAACCCCAGACGATAATCCTAGACGCTTCAATGGTTTCGGCACGGAGAGCATTTTTCTCACCTTTTCCCCAAACTAGAGTTCTGCGAGTCATAACAAGCCCCAATTGACCCTCTTCGCCTCACTTCACGACCACTCTTTCTTATGTTCGGCTGATATGTATCCATTTCATCGATGGACTAGGGAAGGAGATCTGCGACCTGACGATGGATCGGATGCGTCGCCTATCCGACCAGGCTCAGAGCCTCCAGGGATTCCTGGTGTTCCATTCCTACGGAGGGGGCTCCGGCTCCGGCTTCACCTCCCTCTTGATGGAGCTCCTCTCCGCCGATTACGGCAAAAAGACCAAATTGGCCTTTTCCATCTACCCTGCACCCCAGGTGTGTGAAGCATGTCGAATTTCAAGCACCCAAGATAAATTGATTGAGCTTTAATAGTTCTTTGGGCGCATTATCTTGCGCACAATCTTTAGCAAGTTGCTATTAGCAGTTCCTCAGGGTTCACGAAGTGAAATAACAAAAATCTCGATCTCAGAATATGGATTAATTCTTCGACGTAACGAATTCGCCGAACCGGTTAACGACGGAGCTAACTTGTAACTACCTCGCGGTCGATCGGCGACAGGCACTTCACGAGCATAGCCAACCTCCCCCTGCTGCCAGCCCAGACAAACAAAGCCACAATCGCCTCATCCATCTTTAATCGGCGATGGGCCGATTCAATGGACTGATATTCGAAGGCGTTTCTCCTGCAGGTGGCGACGGCCGTCGTCGAACCTTACAATGCGATTCTGCATACGCACACATCGATGGAGCACAACGACGTCTCCTTCATGGTCGACAACGAGGCCATCTACGACCTTTGTACAAAGAAATTGGCGATCGATCGACCCACTTACACCAATCTCAATCGACTTATCGGCCAACTCTGCTCCAGGTATGCTCATGAGTTCTAACAGCATTTATAACCCCCCCCCCCCCCTCAAAAAAAAAAAATATATATATATCCTTTTCCGTGAAAAAAAAACAGCGGTGCGGTATCCCTTCCTTAGAAGGGGAAAATCATGGGGAATCCTTCGCCCCTTTCGAGGCGGAGCTACGCATGGCCCTCAACCTCCCCCTCCCACTCTCCCTCCATTGAAGAAGCCCCCATGCCCTTCACATGGCTTCTAGATATTTCATCTTTCACAACAGCAAATGCAGATATAAATGACCGGCTTTGACATCACAGAAAGACGTAAAGAGCTCCCATTGGGGCTCTGAGTTCATCTCATTATGGGTTCTCGTTCCTGATACTTATTCAGCACTACGTACTGGACTGATTCACCCCACCATCTCCTCCCCGTTTGCTCCGATATCTCGAGGATACGGCATAAGATATCAATGCCAATACCGTAATTATTCTGAAGGTGACAGTTTATATATAGCCGCTTCTTCACTGATAGAACAATGGCTTCCTTTTCCATTTTGCACCTATTGCCCAACGTTGAATTATGTGATGAAGCTGGATTTACACTGCTTTTTTTTTTAAAGGGATATTCATAAAATGCTGTACGCAATACTTTTCACTATCATGAGTTTTCTTTTACGTTCATGACTTATAAGTTAAGAAAGAGTGTGGTTTATTTCGTGCAGCATCACGGCGTCGTTGAGGTTCGACGGAGCCCTCAATGTGGACCTAACCGAGTTCCAGACGAATCTCGTGCCTTATCCCCGAATCCACTTTCCACTAGTTAGTCCAGTCTCGTATTTACGCGTCAATTCGTCTTGATATTTTCCTTTTATATTTATTTGATTTTTTCTCACATACATCTTATTTTGCATGTTTGCAGGCTACGTGGGCGCCGGTGATAAACGCGGAATCGGCCACAAACGAAAGATTCACCGTCGCTGAACTCACGAACCAATGCTTCGAACCCGACTGCCAAATGGTACATGCAGCGACTTGTTGAGAAAAGGGGGGGAAGGGGGGTGAGTGGGGGGGAGGGGGGCTCAGAGACTGTTCTACCTTGCAGGTATAGAGTGCGCCAAAATTACCCAGCGAACTCTGAACTATTTATTTTTACTTTTCAAATTTAAACATACTGTCATGAATGAATGAATATGAATGAATTTGAATTGAAAATGGTTTTGCAGCTTGTGGCATAAACGTCCAAAAGTAAAAGTCTAAATAAATACTACCTTACAGAGTTTACTAGGTAATTTTGATTCACCCTGTATTACACAGGCACATGTAGTTTCTGTCCCCGAGAACACACCTGCCCAGCCCCCCCCCCCCCCCCCCTCCCCCCGCCCAGAGAAATATTTAGGTTTGGTTTGGAATAATTTTCATTATCAGCCAACTGTACCAGATTCCCAGACCAAGAACACGATTTTAGCAGCAACAATAACTGCAAAGGCACTTAGAAGCAGTAGAGCGTGTGTATGCTAAAACACCGTGAAGGAGCGAACAAAGCGGAGTTAGCCAATCAGATTTTTACCCTTTTTATTTGGTATTTTTAATGGCTTTTCCGTTCCAGTATCTCAAAAGTTGCGAAAATGTTCACTGTTTCTTTCATGGCAGAGAGAAGATCGGCCGTACGAGCCACACTGATTTCATTCATTACGTCATCAACGCATGGAGCATGCCTGCTTCTCGATGACAGTCTCCTCATAAGCGGGAAACCTTTCCATTGCCTTCTTCCAATTACAGAAACCATCCCTTAAGAATGCACTCTCCTCGTTAGAAGATGTGACGAAGCCCTTCTAAAATTGCTTGCTTGCAAATTGACCACCTTTCTGATGGAACTTTCGAATGATAGCTAAGGGTAGAATGTTTCCGGATCGATTTATACACCCCTTCCTGGCACCATTGTCAACGGTGCTGGAGAAATGCCTAGTAATTGCAATCATCACTAATTGTGAGGAGGTTCACCTTCACAGGTGAAGTTGATGGAGCGACATCTCTCTCTGAGCGAGGGAACTAATGCTGCACAGCTCAATGGTAGGGCCCAAAGAAAAGCACGAGGCACATATTATATAAACGCGAGTAAAAATGATTCCGGAAACACTGTAACGCTCACATCACTCCAGTTGCAACTTTCTTTCCCCCCCCCCTCCACCATATTTGATACGGGAGAAGGCTTCTCAATTTCTTTTAAGTCAGCCCTCAAACATTTTTCTCTTCTTAATCTAGAGCGTATTTATTCGAACCGGAAGAGTCTTCACGTTCACCATCCCTTTCGAGGTCTACAGGTTTTTTCTCTTTTTTTTCCCCTTTTTAAGAACGAACTTATCAATTTCCCGATAGTTTACACAAATGGCATCACTTGGTCACTCAAAAACGGTTCGAGAATCGGAGACCAGGTCGACAAATTCGTAATAACTCCCACATCGAGGCTAGGACAACGAATGATCACTCATACATCATTGATATAGCGTTCCCATCGCAAGTGCTGGCAGGATCATATGTTGGCACAGTACAGATCACGCGGTGGCAGGTGTAGGTGCCAAACCGTCGAGTCTAGAACCTACTTCACGTTCCATTCTCACGTTACAAACTGTCAGATGAGTTATTTTCCGTGACTAAGATTCTCAGGTTGGAGCTGGCTGTTTCATGAATCGTTGAAGGGGCTGAGCCCTCTATGAATCGCCGCGTATGTGCACGAAGGGTATCGAAATGATGAATTAATGGATTAATAATCGAGGAACTGGAAATTTTCAGGTGAAATGTGACCCCCGTCGAGGGAAGTACATGGCCTGTTGCCTGTTGTACAGAGGGGACGTCGCCCCGAAGGACGTGAATGCTGCAATCGCTGGGATCAAGTCAAAGAAGACGGTAGAATTCGTGGATTGGTGCCCCACCGGTTTCAAGGTAATTCCTTCATTTTTCGCATCTGAAACAGGCGAACAGATCACGAAAGGACGGGTTCCGCTGTTTCAGGTCGGGATAAATTACCAGCCGCCGACCGTCGTGCCAAACGGGGATTTGGCGAAAGTGGCCCGAGCCGTGTGCTGTCTCACCAACACGACGGCCATCCAGGAACCGTGGAACCGACTCAATCGAAAATTCGATCTCATGTATGCCAAGAGGGCCTTCGTGCACTGGTTCGTCGGCGAGGGCATGGAAGAAGGTGAGGGAGGCTCACCCAAGCTCTAATTTTTTCCTCACAACGTTCCATGTCGTCAGGAAGGACTGAATGATTCAGTCCTGGAATCTATTAACGTTTGAAGGAACTGTAATGAACAGAAATTAACGAACCTGAGGGAAACAAGCATCAAGGGAGGACTTCACTCGTACAAGGACAGACTCTTACTGAAGAATCGCGTGACGCGATTGGTGGAGGAAGCAGAGATCTAATTTCCTGGGCTCTGATTGGTCGCCTTGAAAATCCGCATTGCAGCCACAGGGCTGCCACATTTGATAATTAGTCTCCAATTTGGAGAATTTCGGGACGGTCGTGGCGAAAAATAAGGGCCTATGCGGATTCTAAATGTGCATTACGACTTCCTTCGCATAAAAAAAAGTGAATGACTCCAGGCGAGAAAACCAAATTCTTGGGGATAACATCTAATTTACTATTCACTCTGGCGGTTATTGGAGAAAAGAATGGCAGGTCGAGAACCGCCGAGTCATCGTAGTCAGGCATGGGTATTTTCTTTTTTTTTATTCTGAAGGAGGTTTAGAGGTTTGCAAGGTGTTTTAAATTTTTTTAAAGGCAAATATCTGCATCGGTAATTCTTTTTAACGCAATAGATAAAGGAATTTAGCAACCCTGCTCTAAGTTTATTCTCGAGACGCGAAGTCCTGGTAGGCGGCTGTCAATCTCGTATATACCACCTGCTTCGCTCTCTTATTTCCAGGGGAATTCTCGGAGGCGCGAGAGGACCTGGCAGCCCTGGAGTTGGACTACGACGAGGTGGGACAGGATTTCCGAGACGACTCCGAGGCCGAAGTGGGCGGCGGAACCGAATGAGCCCCGAATCCCCTCCGCGTTGTAGACGCGATGGCACCGCGCACCCCGTTCCTTGCTCCCAATATTTGTCCACGCCGTTCGTTGGTTGAATTAAAAGAAAAATAAATTTGGCTCATTGAAAAGTTCGAACTGCACCCGAGATTTCCTCCTATCGAGAGTCATTTCACATAGGTCTACTAAATACGTACCGTCACACACGAGGATTACACGCGATTAATACCTGAAGAGAGTTTTTCCGGGCAGGTGCGAGGAGAGCAGGAAGGTCACTACACTTTCGTTCTTGGCTCGGATCCCTCCCTACACGTGTCGAACGAGACGAAAAGAAATGAAGTGTTAGGAGATCCCCTCGACCTTGACCGAGACACCGCCCGATCCCGCATCCCTGCTCGCCTGACGTAACCGCGCGAGTCCTCCACCCGCATCCCGCAACCCTGCAAGCCCCTCACGCACTCGCGATCGCAGTCTCCTCTCGACATGTGTTCGGAGCTGCTGGCTTCCGTGTGCCGGGCCTTCGTCGACAATGCCCTCACGTACCCGTCGCCGTTCCACCGAAAGGCGAGGCTGTTCATGATGGCCTTCGTCATGTATTACACGTCGAAGCGTGCCGTGATCCTTCCCATGATGGCTGCGGACTGGGTCGGACTCGTTTCGAGCTTGTGGTCTAGCTTCCTCCCGCTAGGGCATCGGGTGGACTCGGAAACTTCGCCAGGGAGGGTCGACGTTCTTTTCAAAGGATCTTGACACCAAGGTCTGCCCTTTTTTCTATTGCATTCGGACTTTGAAGACGTATCTTAGTTTTCACGAAACTTTTCGGAATCGACGCAGCAGTCGAAGTTCGTATTGGGATCTCCCTGCAGCTATCACGTTGAGTCCATGTCAACATGATAAACTGCCGATGACGTCATGCCATAGATGTAAGACCATTCCGTAGGATGAGTCATGAGAAAATATGCAACTTCGGCCCAGGTGGTCGTGAGCCAGAACCGTAGCACAAAGGCAACATAGAAAAATTAGAAAAATAAAATAAAATAAAAGGAAAATAATAATATAGTAATATATAATAATAAAATAATATATATACATATATAATATAATTAATTCCTTGGAAAAAAATGTTCTTTCCAGGGTTCTAGCATAGCGGATCTCATGGCTCCAAAAGGTACAAGGACCATCCCGGAATTCCTGAAGATTCATTCCAGGCAAGGCGACATCCCAGCCCTGTTGCTCGTGGAATCCTGCGGTTTTCCCTGCGAATGTCGGGGGAGGAGGAGCGAAACGAAAAAAGAAATCGGGCTTTTGGAAGAGGGGAGAGATCGGGACGAGGGCCAAATGAGGCTCTTCGGCGGTCCTTCCCGTCTTTTATGTGGGTGTTGCTGCTATTTCTGCAATAAATCTCCGGCTCTCCTGCCAAAAGTGATATATTTAGGGAGGCTTGCATCAATGTCGATTGCTAACACGGGGAGGTGAAAGGTGAAGAGGTTACAGATCCAACTGCCAATTTCCTTCTTGTCTTTGCTAAAACAGAGCCCTGCTGTTCATATTGGTCGTCTGTGGTATATGGTATTACGGTTGTATTGGTATCGTCTTGCGATGATTAGGTCGAGATCGAGACTTGGTCGTTGGGAATTCTCTGCGGTGGTGGCCGTGGCCGTTTCAGGCCATTGCTGGGCCAGTCATGTATCTCGTGTGATTATTGCGTGAGGGAGTCCTCATAAACTTCCCCAGTTTATATGCTCGATTGCACGCCCCTAGGGGGGGGGGGGGGGGGGGGGGGGAAAAACCCC